TCTCTCTCTCTCTCTCTCTCTTTCTCTCTCTCTCTTTTTTCTTTCTCTCGATCTCTCTCTCCGGTTGTCTTGCTGAGGGACAGGGAAGAGTCTACTAAAGGTAAAACTTAACATGATATAGTACATGGGTGGATGTGGTTTAGGAAACTTACAATGAAAAAAACTTCTGGTATAACCTGTATTCTATACCACTCAGTAACAAAAGTCACAGACGTACATGAAAGGACAACGTCTGTTCAATTCATCGCAAAATTTAAACTCTCCTTGGAATACCGACTCCAATGATCAGAGAAAGCAGGGCTAACGGTAAATTTAGAAATTACCGTTTAACAAGACAACGTTTAAGGATCATCAAAGAATTGTACTCAAATATACGAGCATTAATGAAACTCGAATTTACTTTCAGCCCCACACATTGGAGATAAAAGCAGATCATGACAGAAATAGTCCTCATTTTATAAACCAAATCCTTAAAATCCATAAAGAATTACATGAGTTAACCTATAAATTTCTTAAATTACTCTTTTATCACGACAGTATCAAAGTTACTCACTGGCTGCTGAAGAAGACTGGTGAACTCGAAAAATGTTAACTCATCAATTTTCTGTATTTATACTCTGCTGGGCCGTAAACAAGGAAATATTAACATTTTGATCAGTCCACTGCTGTCAACTCGACAGCACGGATCAATAGCGACATTAAACTTAAATTAAATCAACCTCGTGCAGAGCGTTACAGTATATAAGTGCGACGTTATGGTACGAAATGGTTGCCCAGTACGCATTACTTTCTGTTCGGGTCCGCCCACCGCCGGCAGGGGGGCGCCCTTACACTTACAGCGGTGGTATAATGGCAGTCATGGCGCATGTCCTATACGCCACCTGCAGAGGGAAAGGGCTAGGGTGAGCTGCCGAGAAGCACCAGATTGACCTTTCTGAATAAAAACAGGCGTCATTTTGTTAGTTAAAGAGGCGTCCCCGCTAAAGGCGAAAAAAGGCACCCACTTTCACAATGGAAGAGGTGCTCTTTTAACAGTTAAACAGGCTCCCAAGCAAGTATAACAAAACAGATGTCATTCAAACTAGCTACTTACATTCTTTTTTATGAGAATAAATGTTTGTCCGTCCGAGGGATGAAACTGGGGTCCGTTGAAACCGAGTTTGATAATGTTGCATTTGGCTTTATTTTCATGCAAACATTCGTCAGAACAGCTCAGTTTTATGTGAACTGATTTTGAGCGGAAAACGGGTTACGTTACACTCTGATTTTAAGGGGGGACTATCCTGGTAAGCCAGAAAAATTCTGCCGCTATATTGAGCCGGGCACGAGATGGGTTGGAAGGAATGCACGTTGATTCTTGAACATTACTATCAAGATTGATTTTTAAGTAGGCAAGTAGGTTGGGAGGTTGGTAGGTCGGTACTCCGGTAGGTAGGTACTCGGATAGGTAGATAGGCAGGTAGGACCGCAGGTAGGTAAGAGGATAGGTATGTGGATAGGCAGGTGGGTAGGTAGGTAGGTAGGTAGGTAGGTAGGTAGGTAGACATGTAGGTGGGTACATGGATAGGTAGGTAGACACGTACGCACGTTAATAGATATTCTAGTTAGTAAGGTAGCCTACATTATGCCATGAGTACAAAGTTATGTAGTAGTTTTATTTGCTGATATAGTCTATTTACGTATTCATGTCATGCAATTTCCTTTTTTAAAAAACGTGGTACATGTATTGCTAAAACGTGTTAGATTCAATCTCCAAGTTATATCAAATCAAATAATTATTTTGTTATAAAAAGACATTTGAATGCGATTTATATAACCTGCACCTTAGGATTTCGCCGAAACTCTAAGCGTTTTGAAGAGAAGTTAAAAACAATTCTCAGTTGTTAGTTATACCCTACCTCTAGTCTGTTTATGATTCTCAAGAATGAGTGTTTGGCGGGTGCTCTGATATGGTTTATTCCTCTCCTATCGAACATCTATCTTCCACCTCCTTCGTTTTTTTATATTTGTTACTCTCTTGTAGTAATTCTAATCTTCGGCACTTGTTTGACCTTATTGTGTTGCAAGTGTCGCAAGAATCAAAACAGAACACTATAATATCTAATATGACTAATAGCTTTTTTTTTCCCTGACGCCACCGGTTTGTCGCCTTTCACGATTTTTGACATTTCAATAATTGATAGTGTATTGAAGTAATTAGCACTCTTCGTTTCATTTTACTTTCCAACATATATATAGAGAGATCTCTATAAAAGTTCTCTACCTATGGTTCCGATGAGTAATTCATCTCTCATTAGCTATTATTCAGAACGACCAAAAAATTAGCTAAGTTATCAAATTCAGCTGTCCCGGGCAGGCAAGAAAAACTGTCCTAGCTTCATCTACTGTGGGGTCTTT